ANAAATTATAATAACAAATAATAATAATAATTATAAATATTAAAAATTAGAATAATAAATAATAATAATAATGATAATTATTATAAATTATAAATTATATAAAAATAATAATTAATAATAATAATGATAATAATTTAAAAAAAAAAAAAAAAATATTCCGTCCGGCCGGCCGGACCGGACGGACCGGTTCCGACCGGCCGCCGGTTCCGGTCAGGCACGGTCCGTCCGGCCGTGCTTTCCGGACGGTATTTGCTCCGTCCGGCCACCGGTTCCGGACGGGCTTTAAGCCGTCCGGCCGCCGGTTCCGGACGGGCTTTAAACTGTCCGGAACCGACGTCCGGACACGAATTTTTTCGTACTTCGGAATTTGACGACATTTCACCGTACACTTCTCTGAGATGTTTACGAAAAATGAGAGGGGCAAAATTGTCCAAGGGGGGCGGTGACTAGTAATTTGGGGGGCGGTGAATAGTAATGCCCTAGATTTCGATGCACTAGGAGGTGTATTCAATTTATATTTAGACTTTTTAACTTTCAGAATTCTAGTTTATTTAATTAGAACTTAGAGACTTCTGAATTTACGTATTCAATTTAAACTTTTTATAAGTCTCTAAAAGCCTCAAGTTATTCAACTTGTATTCAAAACAGAAAGACTTTATGATACCTTTTAAATTGTGAGACTTTTTAGACACTTTTCTTACAAAATCTATATATATTGAAAGAGAAAAGTAAAAAAATCAACTGTGAAAACTTTTAAAAAATAATGAGTCAACCATGTTGACATACTAATTATAACAATCTTTTAAAATCCGTATTATTTGCAACTATCGTTACATTTTTCTAATCACACGTTTAATACCACACAGGTATTAAATGTTAACATAGCAAAATCGTGGAATTATTTTTTTAAGTTCACGCGCTTTAATATCTTACCAAAATCTCATTTAAATGCCGTCCTTAAATTACGGCAGTTGTACTTTGGTTTTCAAAAAAATTGTGCTTCATAAAAGGAACAACATTATTATACTAAACTATCGGTTGAATAAATTATTTTGTCTGGCATCTTTTGTTTTTTGATTAAAAAATAATTAGGGCTGATTTATATTTAAATTGTCAAACAAATTTGTTTTGTTTATAGAAAATCGTGTTCCAAAATTTCAGCTTTAATTTTTTTATTCACAGCTGATTTCATATTAAAAATTTACTTTTGTAATTTCAAAAAATTGTAAAATTGAATATACGGCTGATATAAAATTAAAAAATTACTTTTGCACACATAGATTCAACCTCCCATCGAATTCAAAATTTAAAATTGTGAATAATGTATATAGATGTGGACTGATTTAAGATGAATGATTTCTTTTTTTTCCAACAAAATAACAAAAGATCTAAACTATTTTAAATATAGATTTTATTATGCACATGTAGAATAAATAAATTGTTACATTTAAACTTCCTATCAAATTCAACATCTCAAAAAAAAATAGAATAATATAATTTTACACCTCTAGGAAACAACATTTAAAACCCCCGTACAACATACATACATAATATTAATCAAAAGTCAAGCTCGAGCTCGGCTCGTATATCACTATTAACGAGCCGAGTTCGAGCATTTACGAGCTGATCTCGAGTTTCAACGAGTCGAACTATAGAAATTATATAAAAATTCTTTTTTCAATCCTTAACAGCTTTATCGAGCCGAGCTATCGAAAGAGCTTTAAATGAACCTGAACTCTGCTCGTTAAGGCCTCGAGCTCGAACTGAATTTGAACCTAGAACCCAATCAAGCCAAACTCATTTAATTTGAAAACATTAATTCTTGCATAGTAATACCGAATGTATCCGAGAGATTCCTACCATTGTCTCTACGACACCACGTTGTTTTTAAAGCCAAGATATCAACTGTACAACAAAAGAATTGCATAAAAGTCACCCCTCTCTCTACCGGATCTTCTCTCTTTAGTCTTTAGTAAGCTCACCGAAAAACTCACTCAAATGCGACCAAAAACCCTAATCAAAAACCATACAGTAGACGGTAAATATGCTCCCGCACCTCGATTGGAGCTTCGTTTGGGCCGGTGATCTGTCGCATTCTCACAGATTGAAGAGTTTAGCGATACAACTGTGAAAAAATTGAAGTGCTCTTTTTGTCGCTTTTTTTATGCTTTTCGGTCCTCTTCCTTCTTCTTCTGTGTTTGATTTTGGCCAGTGCGAAGATGTATAAAAACAAGCTGCAGGAGCTGGCACAGCGTAGCTGCTTCAATCTGCCCTCATATGCCTGCATCAGGGAAGGCCCTGATCACGCGCCGCGGTTCAAGGCCTCCGTTAACTTTAACGGTGAGACATATGAGAGCCCTAGCTACTGCTCCACCCTTCGCCAGGCAGAACACTCTGCTGCTGAGGTGGCGCTCAATGCGCTCGCCAGCGGTGGACCAAGTAGCTCTCTCGCCGCTAGAATTCTGGTGAGTACGTACATATTTTATTTAATCGTTTAATTTGAAAGATTTTATGCAAATGTGTTGGTTTGCTTGTTTATTTATGTGGATTTGTTTTNACTGTTCTAAGCTACCGTGTTTTAATTTAATAGGCTTAATCTGATGGACTAGTGAATGGAATTAAAAAAGTAAAATAAATCGGTGTAAGGCCACATCATTGAGCCGTGGTCTTGTAATTTTATTGAGCTATGGAATGAATTGAGCCTCTGTTTGTAAATTTTTAACTAAAGTTGCTTTCTGGACTTTAGATGAAAAAAGTGACAGTAAGTGTGGATGGTGATTGTCACTTTGATTTTATTGGCTTTGGATGACTTGGGCATCTGTTTGGCTGATTCAGTCGGCGTTCACCTCTGTTAGTAGTTAGTGGTATCATAATTTGATATCATATGTGGTAATCTTGTGCATTCTTTACCTTTTTTTCTCCAATTATGAATTTCTCTTAATGGAAATATGTATTATCAGTTATGCTTGACATTTTGTAAGCAACGAGATATATTAGTCTAATGCATTCGTTGAAAGGGTGGATGTTTTGTTGCATATGATATAGTGATTTTTAATACAAATGTCCATTCTGTTGCATCATAAACATTTTGACTAATATAAACATAGGTGATGGTTGCTGGCTTAGAATTGGTCTCTGATGGACAGCATATGCAAATTGAAGAGTGGTTGTCTATAATTTGGTGTAGATTAAATTCTATTGGTGCATTGTTTTTCTTGTAGGGGCCAACACATGTCTTTTATGTACCATATCTAACCTGTTGCTTACAACATTTTTGTGTTTTACACGCCACTCCATGGACTAGGTCTGGATGGAATTATGCATCCGTTACAATTACAGTAGAGAGATCAAGCTATCAAGGGATCAATCTTTAAGATTTAAAAAAAAAATATCTATTTTTTTTCCTTAAGACTTAACCCTTGCACAACATTTAGAAACCCATTTAAAATTATATTGAGGCTGCAGCCTGAATGATTGGCATTATTGATCTCTCTAACCCAATGTCTTATAGTGTATATCAAAACTTTAAATGGGATGGGACATGCCGCATGTGCTATCAATTTCATTTCTGCAATATTGCGATACTGTTCTGGAAAACTTTAATTTTAAGTATTGGATTTAAATTCTGTAGCATTCTCTTCTCGTTTTTGATGAGCCAAGCCCGGATCATGTGAAAGAATTGGTAAAACAATTAATGTCGAAGGTCCACATTAGATTGCTTATACAGAAAACTAAGGTTTGTTGCCAATACAGCTAAGGTCAAAGTGATCTGTTACTTTTTAGATCCATTCCCAATCTAGTTTTTTACATTTTGGCTAACTATCTAGAAAGCTTGTTTTGTTACTTGGCCTACCAAACATGGGTAAGCACTTGTGCAGAATCCAGGTTCTGTGATATTAAAGAATATTCCATTCAACTCCTTTTCAATTTGGAGAATATCTTTGAATTAGATATTAGAATGATTTATTTTTCAATTAATTTTTATCAAACACTGTATTGCTGAATTGGAATTATGCATGTCCAACAAAATTAAATCCATGGTTAATCAGTGGGAAAATTATAACGCACTCCAAGGGGAGATAAATGAGCTTATTTGTACCCAAGACAGATTACAAATCCCCAATTCAATCACTGATCATTACTACGTTCGTCATTACTGAAGAATTTGGGTTGGTTTATGTCATCATCGTTCTTTATGATTACGATGAGAAATTGACCATAAAGAAATTTCTTAATTGAGAGAAATTAGGAATATATGATTTGGATGTGAAATTCCCTGAAGAAATTTCATAATAGAGAGAAATTAGGAATTGGACAATAAACATTTAGAAGTGGTATTAAAGGGGGCCCGTGTGCATTTGGATGTGGCCAATGTTCACCACTCAGCAATGCTATGTGACCTCTGTCACTCATTCTGTACCTCTAAGCAAGTTTTGTAAACGATTTATGTACAGTAGGATGAACTTTGTGAGAANCTGCCTTGTGCATACAGTTCATATTTTTCTCAAATCTCGCATCACGTGTTTCTCATTTCAATTTAACTGCTAACTAATGCTGTTTCTATGCTTTAACCCCACAATGCAGGATGAAACTGGTGTGTATAAGAATCTCTTGCAGGAAGTCTCGCAAAGAGTGGGGGGTTGCATGCCTTCTTATACGACTTTCAAATCTGGTCAAGTCCACCTTCCCATTTTCACTTGCACGGTGGAGTTAGTTGGTGTTATATTTACTGGCGATCCAGCCAAGAGCAAGAAGCAAGCAGAGAAGAATGCGGCCATGGTGGCTTGGTTATCCTTAAAATCATGTACATTATCCCTTTATCTTTGACATAATCTGGACGTGCAGGCTGTCCTTATTTTCATATTAAGTAGAATAGCATATGCTTTATGATTTTTGTTTCTCCTCTAGGCATGAATTTAACTACCAGATGGATTCTCATGCATTGTGTTTGTGTGTCAGAGAAATACTACATCTTAACTTTCCTTTAAATGTTATTAACATAAGTGAAAAGCCAAAAAGAAATGGGAATCAGATATTTGAATAGCCCAAAAACGAGGGAAGAAAAGATTAACAAAATGAGCCTCAACGTAGGTCATACTCATTTACATGATAAGAAGACTCTTTTGAGTATGTAGAGCTTGATATCCTTTGTGCCTTTCTCTTTTCTTCTCCAGTGGCACAGCAGTCTGAGACCTTCTCCGAGAAAACCCACATGGACGAGCAGGAGCATGTGACAATTGCACGTGCCCTTCAAGAGTACCTTATACAGGCCAAGCTTGCAAGATTCTCTTTCCCTATCAAATTCCCAGCCATAAGCCCAAGGCCCTCAAATGCACACCATTCCTCCCCCACAACCTCAAAAATACTTCCCTTGATCTGCCCAAAAACAGCCAGCCGCAGAAGGCCCACTTTAACAGCAACAAGCAACAACAACAACCCATCATTCCAAAAGAGTCAGAAATTCCCTGCAGCAAGTGCACCACCCTACTTCCCTGTCAGGCACTGTATCCCACACAGCAGAGTTGCCCCACTTGTGAATGTTCGAAGCATGGTTCCTGTTTTCTCGGCCCCACCGCCAGCGATGAGGCCCCCAGCCATTGGAATTTCGCCACCTGTCTCCATTAGACAGGTTGTCCCTGTATATGCTGCTCCAGTTTGCAAGGAGCTACCCATGGTGCGGCCGGTTGTTAAAGCGAACGATCAGCAGGTATCAAGGTTGTTGACAGCTAAGGTGGAGGAGCTTCCATTTGCTGGAGCTGCCCCAGGTACACCCATTTTCCAAGCTTCTGTTGTTTTGATCGAATCATGGAAAATTGCCGATACTCCGTTTTGGTCGAGGGATTTTGGTGGAGTGAGTTGAAATATTTATACAATTGCAGGGGACATGGTTTGCTAGAGAAATCGGATCAATTGATTTCAAACCCCTCCATTCACTGCAGATTTTTCACACTGGATTGCGTAACTGTTGACAGAGTAATTAAAACTTCATGGATTTCAAATACTCTCTGTTCAAACGAATCTTTGAGGCATAATTAGAAGAAATCTGATTATTTTTCAAAATTACAAAGACACCCCAATAGTGGATGTTTGCATGTTTGATAAGTTTCACCTAGTGAAGGGATAATTTGTATAGCAAGTACAAACCTTGATGGGGTTTTTCGCTACTTCAATATATGATTGGATCACTTCTAGTGAAGGATATTCTTACGGAGCTCCTCTAGTTTTAAGTTATTGCAAATTTCTGCAGTGCCGATTTCTGAAGTTCCAGCACGTCAAGTCGGGCTACCTTCATCTCAAGTTTCCACTGTTCAAATCGAGCGAGTTGCTAAGTTTAGTGGCCCACCAGGCAGCCCGAGAGCAGCCAGCGACAAGACTAGGATTGCAGTGCATGACAAGCTGCAAGAATCTAAGGATTTGAAAAATCTCAAGATATGAAAGGGGGTCTTTGGATTGCATGAAATTACAGTTATTATTCTGTTAATCAAATTATGTTCCTTGTAGTGGACATTTACATGTCTTTGAAAAGTTGTAACAGTTTGTGTGCAGTTGTGTCCATCCATCAGTTTCTTTTGCCTTTGAACGACGTAAAGAAACTGAGCTGCTCAAAACTCATTGCAGAGTATATACACATATCAGTATGAATTGGCATCATGTTTACCTTTCCAAATTTTGACTATCGGATTGCTGATGTGGTCATTATGTATTTACACTTTTTGTTTGCTTCGAGATGTTTTTCTGTAGAGGCAGCTGCATTTTTATTCCTCATGTGAAAGCGATGTCATGATTCTTGGAAAGTATAGTTTGTGCAAATACTATGCAGCACTTTTGATTGAGTTGTTAAATATATTATAAGCACAACCCATAAACGAAAGGTCCATCCTAAATATGGCCATCTCCGAGATTACCTTCATTCGTTCAAAATTCTAACTCTCAAGTGCATGCTTTGTTATGAATTTTTCAATAAATATGTCGTCACTATTAACCAATCACTTTTTTTTAACTCAAAATATAATTCAAACATAAGAATTTATTAAAATTAATAGCGAAACTAATTTATTAGTGCTAAACATTTCAAATATATATATATAATTGTAAGCTATTATATAATCTTTTTTTTTTCGTCCATTTTTTTGTTAGTTTTAGTATGTTTGAACTATCATTTTATTTGTATCTACATCTCTAAGTTTGTAATTAGTTGCACTCTTAATTTAATATAGTTGCACTCTTTGTTAATTTGGTAAGTAATATTATATTTTTTATGTAACCATTACAATATTTTTAGCTATTTTTTTTTCTTCTGGTTGTACATTTATTTAATATTTGAATTTTAAGTTACTTTTAACCATTTTAATTTGTACAATAAAATTGATATTTAAGGCGATGATTAGAAGTAAAGTAATATACAAATTTCAAATTTTCCCTAGGAAATAAATTTATAAGAACAGAGCATAACCATATTAATTATTTTGTCTTTTTATTTGTAGAGACTTCATTATTAATTCATATATATACAAACATAAATAATCCTACCTATTTTTTTTCCAGCGATTTTAATTAGGGCTAGTATTTTTTGGCCGAAAACTGAAAACCGAACCAAACCGAAAAAAATCGAACCGAACCGACTCATGTGTAACGGTAATCGATAATTGGTTACCAATATGTTATCGGTTCGGTATCGGTTTCGAACCCATTAGGGTTCGGTTTTTACCGAACAGAACCGATAAGATATGTATATTACTTAAATATAATAATAAATAGTATATGTTTTAATTGAATTGATCTTAAATCTTAAATAGTTTAGGTCATTAGGGGCCATTTTCTTTCTGCTTGCACTAGCACTACGGCCCGTCATCTTCATAATTTAGGGCTGGGAGTTCAATTGAGAAATTCAAAAAGTTCTGCTTGGTTTTTGCTCGCCTCGACCCGTCGATCGTTCAACTCACCTTCACTTCAGACCTCCTTCTTCAATTTAGAATTCAGATCGCCTCCTTCACCATTCACCTCACCTTCGCCGACTCACCTTCGCCGTCAGCCGTGCCCGAAGGTAATGTAATTGGTTTTTATATTTTGTGTTGTGAGTTTCATACTTTCACTAGCACTTTGCAGATGAGTTTTATCATTCTGTTTCAAGCATAAGCTTACATGGTCCTCTTTTTCCACTACAAGTCTATGATAGATTTCGAACTTGCATTAGTTTGGGAAGGGTTGTAATTTACTTCACAGAATTCAATATAATTATTCATTATGTTCATATAAGAATAGTCATTATTATATAGTAGTATATTGTAAACTTATATTGTTCTTTTTTTTATCGAAATGTAAAATTCCAACTAAGAGCCTTTAAATATAATAATTCAATAATAAATGTGACACATACTATTAAATAAAATTTTGATTAATATTTATATATATATTATTTATTAATTTTGTTAACTCTAGTATTTCATAATTATAAATCGTGAGCCGAATTTAACATAATGAAATACATATTATTAGTACTAAACATTCACAATAAAAAATATAAATTTATTAATTTTCTCATTTATTTTATTTAATATTATAATTTTATATTTTAATTTATATTATTTTTATATATAACTCCGTTAATTTACAGGTATTAAAATATTTATTATCATAATCTTCTTCAAATTATTATTACGTTTTATACTTTATAGGCAAATCGTAAATGTGGCCCTACATCATTTGGTTTTTACTTTTTAGACACCGCCGCTGTCCTATCTTCTTTCATTTTCATTTTGTGCTCTCGTTCTGCTCTCTTTCATTTTCATTTTCATTTTCTCCCTCCGGACAACCGGCCACCGACCACTTCTTCCGGTAATACTCTATGAATCTATTAAGTTGTTTGTTAGTCCGTGTAGATTACAAATACCTAAATTATCTCATGAGACGGTGCCGGGAAAGTAGGTAACAGGCTTAACAACGGCGGCGACCCGTACCCAGCCTTGGGGCTACCGCAACTCTATGAAACTTGTACCACGTGAAACCTGTTGTCTCTTGAATCGTGTTGGCAGTTTTAAATATTGATTTCGGTGAAGTGTGTGTGTGTAGTTTTGCAGCAAGGCTATTGTTTTCTTTCGAGTTGATTTTCACCCTTTCAGTACACCTATATGTATTTTATGTCTACATAAGATTTTCTTAGATATATGTGTTGACATTGTATTGGAGCTGAAAGCAATTGCTTCACATGTTATTTTGCTTAATGTTATATTACACACAGATTCTACAAGCTTTCACTCTTTATTTTCTCTATATTTCAAAATTTCACACTTCTACAGTTCTACTGAATATTAGATATCATTCAAGTACATTTGGGCTACACCACAGCCAAAAGCTCCCTAGATTATTTATAAAACACCTAATGAGCTGGAAATTTTGTCGATTGAAATAGCGTCAAGTGTGGAAAAATGGGGACTCGAGAAGTCTACGAAGAGAAGCTTCGAAGAGGGAACCTGCACCATGATCCAACTCTGAAACCGGGCCTCGGCTCGGCCCGATGCCCCCGTTGTCTTTCTCTGTTGAACCCAAGCAAAGTATGCATCTGTCCGTGTCTGTGATATATTATTACGTGCGTTAGTTGTCTGTGTGATGTTTGTATGGCCAATTGAATTGATATATACGTTACTTCATATTTGTGTTGAATTTTGTGAACAGGAAAGTTCGGAATGGAAAGTCGCCCCGGTTTTACACGATGCCATGTCTGTGGTATGTGCGTTTAATTGTTTGAGTTAAATGGTTTCTTAATGGTGTTAGGTCCGTTCTTTGATAGTCCTGTAAAATATTATCCGGCAAAGGGCTTTCGTAGTTGTGTTATATTCTCCCAGTTGTTCAAATTAGCTCTTCCCTGTTTTTGCCTATTTATTTTAATGAATTGTGCTGACCCTACATGATTACATTGTTTTTGCCTATTTATTTTAATGAATTGTACTGACCCTACATGATTTACATTAGTTTGACAGAGGGATGTTTGGGTGTGAATTCAGTTTGTGTAATTGGTTTTGGAGAATTTTTTTGGTTAATCGAAACATTGAATACTTACAGTTAATTGATATTTTGGATTATGAACATCTGCTGAAACAACTATGGAAATGGGTGAAGCCACTCCGACTTAAGAACTTGTACCCTTAAGTTTTTAGGAGCAGTTGTTTAGTCGAATCATGATTCTATGTTGGAGTTCATTATGCAAACATATATAATATTTTTGGTTTAGTGAGTTTTGTATTCGGATGGTTTCACATTTATCTCCCTCTTCTGTTTAGATTATGATGTGAATCCTGAGTGCATATCCAAATCAATATCATCCCAATCTTGGTATTGGTGTAAAACGTTTTGGAGCACTATGTGGATAACAAAATGATGCTCTAAAACTATACTAAAGCTGTAACCTGTGGATAAGGGTAGTTTTGTAGCGACTGCATAAATATCTTAAATAATTGAATCACGATCAGTACAACATCTACGTTTTACTTTGGTCATAATAGAAAGCTGGATTGGTTTAAAGTCATGCATAATTGCAGCTTTAACACGCTGAGCTCTGTGTACTTATTTTAACCTGTCTTGGTTGCCCTTTTGATGAATTCATGAATTTAGTAATTTATTTAGGAGGTTTAACTTTTAAATGTTGTCTTCACTTCATTCTAACTTTCTCATTTTTCCAAACGTTCTGAATTGGGGTGAATTTTAATATCTTATATGCGGATGCTTAAAACTATAAAGAACATCATTCTTTTTCTCGTTTTGATTATTTTCTGATGTATTGGTTAGGCTGGATCCGGGATTGGTGGGATGCTTAGTGCAGTTCATGGGTTCAATACAGGTACCTCAAATGACTCATTACCATGTTTGTCCAATTTTATTTCTCAGTTCATGTCTAAATTTGTGCACGTTCCTGCAGGAATTCCATATTTCCAGAAGAACGTGAAAGGGCCAAAGTGGCTTCCATTTGTCATTGGGGTGTGAACTCAACCTTCTTCAGCTCGATGACTTTTCTTTTGCTTTTATTTTTTATTCATTAAATTTTTTTTTTCACTACATGTCTCAATTCCGTTTTCATTTCAATTTGGCAGCTTCCTCCCCTGCTTATGTTTTCCGCTGCTAGTGCTGCTTTTGGAGGTATGCATCATCTTCATTTGTTCATTTAATAATTTTGACCTTTATTAGTCACCTTAAGTATATGAACCAAAGAAGATGCCAATGCTCACTGCCTAATACAATATAGTTAAACATAAATTTGCATTAGATGAAAATCTTTAATTGCTAATTTTGAGTTCCTATGGAAACATCTACAGCTTGTTTCTTGGAGCATCTTTTTATAATGGAAGGATTAGTTTTCTCGCTTTTAAATGAACTGTTAATGTACAGGTTATGCACTTCCAAAGTTTGCTCAACTCACGGTGACATCCTATTTTGCTGCTTCAAGTGCATCTCATTATGGCATTTCATTGCTGACCCGACACATAGAGGAGGACTATATCTCCAGAATCGAACATAAGGAGCTTAGATGAATGATTGGAGGTGGTACAATATGAACTTTTTTACTGGTGACCAATTTTGTCAGCCTTTAAACTTCTACTAAATGTATATCTAGTAACTTCTTCCTTTTCATCTATTTCTTTGACGGAAAATTTATGCGTGCTTACTTATGGTGGTGTATCCTCTCTGCCTCACATACAAAAGTTTACTTGTAAATGTATTGAGTGCTCAAATTTTTAACTGTTTCCATACTCAGCTTCTTTAAGTTTCCATAATGCTTGGTACGGGCTATAGTAACCTACCCTAGTTTGTTCAATTCCCATAAATTTTTTTGAAATAAGTACCCTCTGTACGAGCTCAACTTTCTTTACTGCCCATTTAACGAGATAAAAAAAAAAAAATCGCACATCAATTTCATTAAGCCTAAATTTAAGTACTCAAAATGGAATATAATATAATATAATAGGAATAAGACAACCAAAAATAGCATGAAATTTTCTTATTTTTAATACTACAATTAGATGTTTTAGTTTTATTTTTCTTCAAATAAGGTACAAATACATTTAACCGTATAAGCTTAAGACCTGTATTTTATTCCTTTTTTGATCATTTTTTTTTCATGTTGAATATAAAACAAAAATTTAAGCAATTTAATTTTCACCTATTTCTTATAAATAACATGTCATATTAATTCTCTTTCAGAATTGATTTAACACCAATATTTCACAAATAATATAGTAATTATAATTTGTGGATATAAAGTAAATATTGTTTATATTTCCGTACTAATCTAAAATATCATGAAAGTTCTTATAAATTACAATATTTATGTATACACACACACACACACACACAATAAAGTTTT